CCGGAGTAGTTGCGAACTGTCTGGCTGGTAGACACACTCACGCAGCCTGAGCACATTTACCAGCCAGGCAGTTCGAAACTGCAAACTGATACATCTAGTAATAATACAATTTACCTAATGACAAAATACCAGACGTGTTCTATGTCTGGTATTTTCTTACTTTGTTTTTTGTGTGTTTATATTTTTGGGCTGCAAAAAGCAGTACTAAAAAAAAAGGGTTCCAACTAAAGTAAAAAGTTTGGGAAACCCTGGTCTAACCAGCTTTCTGTCTGTCTTACAGCCCAATTATCCAATCCATATTCCTTAACTTGCTGGCAAGAATTTTGTAGGTGACCATATCAAAAGCTTTGCTAAAGCTGGCACTGGGGGTTTTGGGAGGACCAGAAACAATTGATTTGAATATTCATCATTTGATTAATGAATATGCAAATATGCAAATGAACATTACCAGTCCTCCAAAAGTGTGAGAATGGATTTACTGGTCCCCGTGTCAAAAAGTTTGGGAACCCCTGCCCTAGGTGTTCAGCAATTTCCCGTCACACAAGAATTTATGACCTGTCAATTTGCTTTGTCTATTTGCAGGTACATTTACTCAATGAGGGTTAAATATTGTGTTGTATAAGTGTAAAAAATGCTTGTAGGCACATTAACTACATTTTATCCCATTTCCGATGGAGGTTCAAATTTAGAAGTTTGAAGAAAGTCTGACTTTCTATCATCAAATAAATAAATAAATTCACATTTCCCAAGCAGGACACAACAGATTAAATTATCTAATGCCTAACTGACAACAGACATTGCTGCAACCCTGCTAACTCCTGCAAAATGACAAGTACTTCTTTGAAAATTCATCTCCTTTGGTTGTGATAAATCAAAATTGCAAAGGATGCCAAAAAAGCTCCTTTGGACAAGCAGGAAAAAATTAAAATCAGCAATTCAAAAGAGGATATATGTACAGTGTATATTCATGAGGGAGGGGAACTCATTTAAGCTCTGAATCCTACTCCAGTCTCCAGAAAGATTAAGGACAAGAATTATAAGGAAGAAGGGATACATTTCTATTTCTGAATAATATTTCTTTGGAAAATTTGAGAGCAATGATATTTTAGGTGCAGGCTGAGCTGTACAAAGTATATTCAGTTCGTTTTATTATATTTTATGATATTCTATTTGTGTCTGGTGCCATAAGAATTACATTTCTCTTTAACTGGAGTAGAGAGAAAATTTGTTAGGTGCATAATAATGATTCAAAATGTTCTTTTTTCTGATACTGAACAGGACTCCCAACAATAGAAATGGCCACATGTATGTTGAACTTTACTTGTGTAAGGGCTGACCTTTATCAAGGCAATTCCATGTACTGTCCTATTTCACATGGACAACAGAGGCCAGGGGAGATATTAGGTTAGGCCTATACTAGGCGCGGAAGGTCGGCTTAAGGAACACAACTCCAGCTACGTAAATAACGGAGCTGGAGTTGACATACCATAAGCTGAGCTTGGCACCGTCTCCACAGTGGGAGGTTGATGGGAACAAATGCTCTCATTGGCTTCCCTTACTCCTCGGGAATCGAGGAGTACTTGACCGAGGGCACCCAGAGCATTTGATTTAGAAGGTCTTAACTAGACTCCCTAAATCGAATGCCAGAAGATTGATCTCCGGCATGGCAAGTGGAAACGTGGCCTTAGAGAAGGTACTTTTTCCACTGGGCGGGGGATGGTCCTGTCCCTGACAACGTGCAGGGAACCAGTGACAGCATTCTTGGGGTACAAGACAACAGTACTATACATTTGTTTTCAGGACCAGCATGAGGAAGGCAGTTTGCCTAATCACACACTGCATGGAACATACACAGAGCTCAGAGGTGAAGGATGTGCAGATACAAGACAATAGCAAGGAAGTATCTCAGAGTCACAGCATGGATGTCTCCTCTCCCCACATGTACATTTTACTAACAAAGGATATTCTCTCTCAGTAAAAAAATCAAGACGATTTTTGGTGTGGATGGGTTGAAGCAGAGTTGTCAAGCGGTGTGCTAGTAAACCTGCAGCAGTTCTACCCTTAAATTCAAAGGCTTGACTTGACTCAAAGGCTATCATTTGGGAAGCAAATAAAAGAGATATAGAAATATCAGCATTTCTTATGCACAGCAAATATTTCTTTGTAAACATGAGGACAGATGAACACAATCATCAATGTGTCTATAATGCTTTGGCTCAAAAAAGATGACGAGCATTCATGCAGAAAATAAAAGGAGGTTCAGAAAAGACTTACAAATCTTTGTTCTGTTTCATCCTATGAATGTCTTTAAGTATGCCCATCATGTCTGCAAAACTGCTGGCCTTCGAAAGACACACAGAATCTTCCTCGTCAACATCCTTTGGCTCTGATTTACAACATTCAGAGGTTGCAGAACAAAGCATGGAAACGGATGGAAGCTCCGGAATTTCTAATTCTGCCTCCTCTGTGATGTCACTAATGACAAAGGAAGTTGTAGATTGGAATGAGGATCCAAAACAAGGTAAGGGAGAAGACACATTTGAACTTCCTGGAGATAATAAATCTGGCGTTAATGAAGTGGAAGCTGAAAAAGAAAACAACATACGTAAACTAATGCCAAACCACCTCACTTTTCTAAGCAGCAGAATACAAATCAAGCTCAGATCTTAGCCAACCTCCCCCAAGATATGCAAAAGTAAATACGGTCAGGGCTTTCCCTCTTATCGTACACATGCACACTGCTTCCTACATCACCATGCCTCCCAGTCTGAGCCCCATCGCTTCTTACACAATGCTTCTACAAATCTAGGTAGACATACAACCTCCATCACTACAGTACCCGCGCATCTCACAAGCCCCCAAGGAGCGCAGGAAGTACTATTCCCATTTTACAGGTGGGAAACAAAGGCACTGAGATTAAATTATGTGGTTAAGGACAAACCAGGTATCTGTGAAATCTGGGAAAAGAACAAATGTATCCTGGTTTCCAGCACAATTCCTTAACCAGAAGGCCATTTTTCCTCTCCCAATCCAGAATGTTCCTCCCACAGCACCAACCCCTGCCTCTAATCAGACCAACACAATGCCTGCCTCAAGTCACTTCCTTTCCATTTCATTCCAAAAACCATTCCACATGAATCTGAGGCATTTCTACAAATGACACAGTGTGAACACAGGCCTGGGAACCAGGAACTCCTGCATTTTAATTTTGCTCCTCATCTTCTGAGGAGGAAGAACAAGGGAACACAGTCTCTCCAAAGAAGGGACGTCTGATCAGAGCAGCTCCTGCCTGCAGGATGCCCACATCCACCGCAAGCAGGGGCTGTGTCCCCTGCCTGCAGCAGGCTTGCTCCTGCCCCACCGGTTATACCTTCACATCCCTACTCTGCATAGTACATTCTATGTCAAATTATGGATTGTTTTCCATACAGATCAGATAATCCCTTTGGGCTTTGTCTTTTTGTAAGAGTCCCAACATGCCAGATAGCAGGGAAATAATTACTGTTCTACATATGCATCCTAAATAGGACCATGGAAATATGGAAAAATTCAAATCTTCTGTGAGGTAGTATTACACATTGGGTCAGTGTGTCTGTCTCAATGCATCATCCCCTTCCCAAAGGTAAGGAAAATACCCTAGTTACCTAACAAAACGACCAGCAAGATCAATTCCTACGTGCATGAAATATTCATAGAATCCTAGAACTGGGAAGGGAGCTCAAGAGTTCATTAAGTCCAGCCCCTGCTTTCACAGCAGAGGCAAAGCTCCATCTAGGTCATCCCTGATGGATGTTTTCTAACCGGTTCTTAAATATCTCCAATGATGGAGATTCCACAACCTCTCTAGGCAATTTATTCCAGTGTTTAACCACCCGGACAGGCAGGAAGTTTTTCCTAATGTCCAACCTAAACCTCCCTTGCTGCAATTTAAGCCCCTTGCTTCTTGTCCTGTCCTCACAGGTCAAGGAGAATGATATTTCTCCCTCCTGCTTGTGATACTTTTTCAGATATTTGAAAGCTGCAATCATATTAAGTGAATGTCTTTGGAAAATGACAACTTGACCAAAGTTTGCAGTGAGAAAGTTACACAAGTATCGCCTTGCTTAGGGAAGAAGTGGGATGAAAAGGCTCATCTGGTTTTAGCAAGAGCTATAATCTACTCAGTTATTAAACCCCAATTTTACTTCTCAACTTGGACACACTGAAGCCGTTACTGCCCTGTAGGGCTTACACAGAATGAAAGGTGCAAACAGCTGATTAAGAGGTGGTGCAACTGGACCTTTAGGGTCAAATTCTTCCTTCAGTTACATTTGAGCCAGCATGTCCAGGGATTATAGCCCAAGCTTGGAAATCAAGAAATCTCAGTTTGAGACAGCTCTGCCATGCACATCCTGTCTCGTCTTGTTTCAGAGAATATCTGCCGCAGTTTTCACATCTGTAAACACACACTGCTCCCCTCGGTATTCCGCGCATGTAACTGTGACCCATAAACTTGTGGCCTGCCCCAAGTGGATCCCCACAGATGCACATAGCATCTCATTTAAAAATTGAGATCTACCACGTGAACACCTAATATAGTAAAGACAGATAAAAGAGTGGGAATGAGCTGAACCTAATACGTAAAATTTGTGCTTGAAATGCAGAGGCCAACATTCAAACTGAATCCATTATAGTCTGGAGATGTTATGAGTTAGTGGCTTCCATTGTTTATAAGGTTGTAAATGAGTCATAGCTGACTTCTGAATACTACGATGGTAATTTTCATAAAAGCGTCACCCCACTCAAAATGGAAAAAGGCTATCGCATTTGTTTTTGACAAAATTCCCCTCCCCACTCCTTTTATGCCATTGACTGAAAGCCAAATCATAACCTCTACCTTTAGCTGTATACCGACCATACAAGTACACTACATGTGAACAACAGATGCAGGTTCCCACAAGAGAAGCTGGTTTGGAGGAGGTTCAAGCTCCAGTCAAGTGCTGAGTTGCTACTTTTAAAGGTTTTAAAGTTGCAAGACTGACAAGATGCCAAGACTACAGGTCTCCCACAGCTCTATGACTGACTGGTCAGCAAGACAAACAAAACATAGCAGTCTGTTTATTTCCAGAGCCCTCCAGAAGAAACTAGACCATTAGAGCAAATTCAAGGATGGAATTTCCTCTTTCATCCTAAATTTACTTGAATTTTTGGGCTTAAATGGTCTGATGTTAATTGTGTTTCACTACAGACAGCAGTTAACCAACAAGTTAAAACAAGAATTAATTCAGGAAGATGATGTGCACATGGTCAGACTAGATGATCACAACGTGCTCTTCTGGCTTTAGAGTCTCTTAACCGGTGAACTCCAGCCAGCCTCTTCTTAAAAAGCCTCTCTGGTCAAAAACCAGAACATCACATTCCCAAAGAAACACAGGAAAACGGCCCCTGTTTTACACCAAAGACGAGACTTGATACCAAACATTTTCATTCAATGAAGGCACTCAGTCTAGAGAGTCAACAGCCTCTCTCCACTGAGTACTCCACACAGTTATACTTGAGCTTGGTTACTCTTAATTTAAGCCAGGCTTTTCTGATTCAACAAATGCCAGCGCCTACAAGCAATACCAATCCCTCTACCGACATCACAAAGAACACTGCACAAACAAGAGGTGGGAAGAATTCACAAGGGCTGAGTAGAATTAGTCATGTATGTCACGTTGCACTAGATTTTGGATACTGAATTGCACTTAAGTCCCTGCCAATTCTCAGGAAACCGTAGGGTTCAGCACAATTGTCATCTCCCTACTAATCGAAAAACTATGATGCTCCGCTCAGCTGTAGTTTTAGCCGTGAGCTGTGTGGACAGCTTTGGCTATGCATACCACTAAAGACATACCCTTTGTATTAGAGCCCTGTGTCACATGAGAGAGAACATAAAAATAGATTTGGGTCTTCCATTGTATGTGTGCAAAACATCAGAATACTGGCAGTGTTTCAATAAAGTATCTGACCAGTGCTGACTGGTCTTTACCACCTAATCATCACTGTTCACCTTCTCAAGCCTTTCGTGGCTAGAAAGGAAGGGCTGTTACATTTCTACCTGGATCTGCAGCTACAATTTTAGCTATTTGACTCCGCAGGTGACTCAGCTCATCTTGAAGCTCAGTCGTCCGACTGAGGGCAGGTAAACCAGGTTTCTTCAAGGCCAGTAGCTTCTCTTCCTGCTTTCTCAAGTTGGGGACTGAAGCATTTCGCTGTATAACAAAGAACGGGCTAGGCTTCCATTTGTGCTTCAGTGGACGAGTGTCACTCCTGAGAGGTACAGCACAAAAGCATATTAGTCTCACAAACGGAACAGACGCCACTTGAGCAATAGCATTTTGTATTTCTGCAGCCTTCTACCAAGACTGCAAAGCCCTTTACAACCAATACATCACAAGGCTCTCGGGACAGATATTATCCCTGTTCTGCGCAGGAGGAAAACGAGGCATTGAAACTGCTGCCCCACACAGAAAGTTTCTGGCAGAGGCAGGACAAAAAATGAAGCTCCGAACTTCCAGTCTAGAGCAGGGTTACTCAAGACGTGGCTCGCAGCCCATTTGTTTGCAGCCCACAGTGCAGTTTGGATTTACATGGGGCTCAACACTTGGCCCATCGGTGGGATCCTTTGGACGCGGCCTCCACTGGGAACACGCTCCACAACAGCGAGGCACTGAAAGACGCAAGCAGACGGGCTGGCTGGCACAGACGGGTACAGGGTGTCGGCGTTTCTAGCCCCCAGGAAGGAGGTCCCGGGAGCACCGGGGCATTGTGGGAAGTGCTGGCTGCTTAGCCTTGTAGGCAGAGCCTGAGAGGTGCTGACTGGTTCACACTGGCCACGTCTGGGTCCAGTGCTGCGGTTTAAGGCTTAATCTTTGTATTGAAGCCTGTCAGGGTGAAAGAAGCTATTTGCATATATTTGCAACCACACTTAAGTTGTGGCCCTCGGCATGCGCTGTGAGTATCAATGTGGCCTCCGGGACTTCCAAAGTTGAGCCGCCCTGGTCTAGTTCCTTACCTGGCAGTCCTCTCTTCCTGCTGGTTTTCATGTCTACGCAACAGAGTGGCACTTGATATTATGTGCTCATGGGGGGAAATCACCTTTACATAGTCTCTTGGACTTCAAAAGGCCCGTGCTATTTTTCACAGGATGCATTAATATTAAAATTACTGGCCTGCCCTAGAACTTCAGAACCAAAACGCATAGAAGTGGAGTCCCTGGAGTCCCAGGTTTGAATCCCAGAAGGGATACCACAGCCCTTCATCATTTTGGCGTAGATCCCTGGGCGCCATAGAGTTTACTGGGTGGAGCCTTTTCCCACATGGGAATCTATCTGTTGACTTTGATTTTTATCTGCTTAGGTTTAAGTACCCATTCTCCAGATACTTACTGATGCTGTGTCTTCCACTCCCCTCCCTTATTCCTCTCCTCCCCTCAACTCTCTTCTCCTCTCCTATTTATTTCGAGTGTTCACATCCTAAACTCATAATTCCGGTCATCTGAAGAAGTGGGCTATGCCCACGGGAGCTCATGATACCATCCACATGTTTTGTTAGTCTACAAGGTGCTACCAGACCATTTGTTATTGTCAGTAAGGGTTCGTCTTAGTGTCCTTGGCCAAAATTTCTCATCCTTCCTCACTGTGAAATAGCTTTCAAAGAAAAGAACAAAACAAAAAACAAAAATCAACAGGCATCTCACTGGAACAACTCAAAAAGTGAACAGAAATTATAAGCATTTGATCAGATACTGTTGTATCTTTCACAAAATAAGCCACCATATAGGAGGAACGGAAAGATATGGGGAGAGAGAGAGAAAGTACCTGACTCTAGCATATGTTTCTTCTTCATCTGCCGCTATCCACAAAATATCTGCCAGAGTGGGGACTGGAGGTACATCATTTAGATAAAGATCTGAAATGTTTGGTAAGACCTAGGAAAAACGGAGCCGCATTATAAGAAATAATGGTTTTGTTCTGCTAATGTGTTTGGTACAATTTAAAGATGATGCATTCTCCACATCAGATTCTAGCTGAGTCTTTGCTGTACAAAGCCAGCATAGATGGATTCAGATAAATACACTGTTTCCATGTACTGGTTTATGAAACGGTTCTCTTAGCATTGTTGATGCATATCATACAAATGGAAAATGAACCTATGAAAACACTATAGCCTGAAAGCAGCCCAGAATGGAAGTTAATGAGCACACGAATACCTCTTTCAGCTACAAAGCAACATCATTACTGAGCTAATGCTCAAGCACTGAACTAGGTAGGCATGTACCATGAACCTCATGTTATGATTTGGGAAACAGACCCAGGGAGGTTAAATGACTTGACCAAGGTCACACACTGATTAGTATCTCAGCTGGGAATAGGAGCTAGCAGTTAGCTCATGTGCCATCCTGATTATATAGAATGGGTTGTTCCCAGATGGCACTGATCATTTAAGGGATTCACAAACCTAGGAAGAATGAAAATGGTTAACGCAGATACTGACTGCATGTGGTGCATTTCCAATTCCCAAAAGGCTTTTGCTATGGAAAGAATGGCAAATCAGAATTACTGGCCTTGCTAAAGAACTGCAGAGTCCTGTATAGATTTCTAGTATCTCTTACGCATTCCCTTACCTCAAAGGATGCTCTGGGACAGGGTTTTAAAGGAAGAGTTGTCCCAATCCTCCTGACAACACTGCGCGATGAGCCATAGGATTTGTTCTGCCAAATTGGGATAGTCTGAGAATCAAGACATTTAATAACATTTCAAATAAATGCAAAATAGATTTCTGAAAGTGTTGAGAACTGCCATATATACAAATCCAAAGGCACCCCTTTAATTAAGTGTACCAGCAATCGCTAATATCTATTTTCAAATTCAGATCCCCTTCCTACAAATCTATGTCTAAATTTACATACATGGAAGTCAATGAAGGGATGTAATGTGTCTAAACACCCCGGCCTGCTGCTGACAAGCTATGCCGGGCGACTGGAGTAGCCTGTCCGCAGTGGGCCCCCCCGGAAGGGCAGAGCCTTGCCTCTGGCAGGTAAGAAACTGCTCCAGCCCCCACCAGTTAATTGGTTAACCTTTTACATCCCTAACCCCTTTTGATAGTTGGTTGATAAAATGTCTTTGTAAGACATACAAAGTCCATATTTTGGATCTAAATTATTGGACAGTGTTCATTTTAAATGTAAATTATTTACTCATATAATAAATAAATGGAATCACCAGGCAACAAATGCATCAATTCCTATTGCATAGATTTGAAAGCCACAGCAGCACTTGATTTAGGTATCATAAGAAGTTCCTTAATGTATTTGTAATCTCACAATTCAAGCAGAATAGTTACATTTTAGAAATAATAAATCACAATACGGAGTGCAAGAATACGGAGTGAGTACATGAAATGATACAGCTGCCCCTACCCCAGCTCTAGCCCAAGCAATAAAGGCCAGGGGTGCTGGAAGGGAGACGAGCAGCGGTGTCCCTCTCATGCTGCATTCTGCAGAAGGAGAAGTTTGCAGTCCTCTGGCTCTATGTAAGTATTTTAGAAAGAAATGTTTTACTTACTGACTCAGTTTCCATCGCAGTTACTGTACAGAAGGGTCCCACACGGGATGAACAATGAAATCAGAGATGAAAACTGCAGTGCCAAGAAACATAAGGCAGCTTCATATTACTTCATCTCGAAGATCACAGCTTTTCTCACTTAAAAAAAAAAATCACAGAGAGCCTAGATGTAGGCAAGTTCCATATCTGTGTACTTAAACATCAATAGCTGAGCTATACGCAGGCTCTGTAGAGTTACCAGAAGCAATTACAAAATGACACACAGAAGAGCAGTTAACATTGCTCTTTTCTGAGCACGCAATGCTTTTAGAATGAGCCTGGGGCCAGGGAACTCCGCCACCTTTACAGCTGAGATAAATATCAAGTGGGAAATTGTTCCTCTGCGCTCGCAATACTCCCGGACTTGGAATAGCAGGAACTGCACAGCCTTCCCCAGAACACATGTTTAATCTCAGCGGAGAAGCAATGCATGAGCTGAACTAAAGAGCAAGCGTGGTCACGTGTCGAGAGCCAGACGGGATGACAGGACCCCTGTGTTCTACTCTTCTCTTCCACAAAGTTAACATGATGACTGCCAGGTCACTACCCTCCCGATGCATCAGTAAATACCTCTTGGCCACGGCACTAGCCTCCCAAAGCAGGAGTCAGTAGGGCTCAGGCATCTCTTCCCTGAGCTCCTCAGAGGCAGTTGCCAATGGGGCAGGTTTTTAGGTGGACAGAGAGGCTGGGAAATGTGTGAAGACAGGACTCTGACTCTCACCCACCACCCATCTACACTCTCACTCCCAAGTGGATGGAAAGAGCAAGGGCAGAAAAATACCCTCCCCTCCCACTGCACACACCTCCAAGCCACAGGAGCAGCTAAAGGGCCCATCTTTGCTAGTAGTGACAGGAACTGCCAGCTGAACACTGTACCATTCACAGCATAGGATCAAATGTTCCACTTGTTGGGAAACTGGGGGAGGATGGAACAATACCATCTGAAAACATTGAGCTGTGGCAGTTACATCTGGCCTTTAGGATGCTTGAGACCCATGAAAGAGAATCCTCTAGTGACGGGCCCATCAAGGAAAATCATTCTGTTTTTTAGCTTTTTTATGTTTTGTCAATCTTGTACATTTCACAGGATGTTGTATACAGTCCGTTTCCTGTTAGTTGTGGGGGAGGGGGCTCTCACACACAAGGACAGGGAGAAGGGTATTTAAAAATAGTAAAATCCACTATATAATTGACAGAGTTTGTCTGTGTCTGTCCAAGAATGCTTCCTAAAAGGTAAGAGCTAAGACCACCAAATTCAGTATGCAGCTTCTTCTAACTTAAAGCAAGGTCAGTATTTGGTTGTCCCAAGAAAATGAACTGTGCCTGGAATGGGATTGCTTCTCATCAAACCATACAGAAAAGACAGAATCAACACAGGTGAAAGGGCTGGCTTGGGGCATGACTCCTCAAGCTTCCAAGAAGCTGGCTTCCAAGTGACCTTTAGAAGGGCCCCAACCTACTGCGGAGAGAGGGGGCTTGGGTAGTTCTGTTTCCCCAGAGCAGCCTGCATGCTGAACTCCTCACCCCCAGCCTCACCCCAGAGCAATGATTCAAATGAAGCATGGACATTTTCATTTCATTTTCCAAACAAAAAAGATAAATTGAGTTAAGGACCCGAGCCACACTGGGTACATTTTCTAGTGTTACTATAAACCCACAGAGTTTGGCTAGGGGGCTCAAGGGCAGGTGTCATTCTCAGAAATACACCTAACTCAGGCTTTTGAAGTTGATTACATTTCAGCTGATGTTGTCTCTTTATGCTCCTTATTTTTAACATGCCTAGGCTGTTTTAACAAGCATCAGTGAAACAATGGAGAAAGTCTCATGCTGGCAAAGGTCAGCAACAAGAAACTGCTGCTCTGACTGACAAGATCCAAATAGAAGCCAAAGACAACATTTAAAAGGACACTCCTCCCCAACATAAGCAGGCCTCTCTCTTAGATTAGGCAGTTAGCTGTCTCAAAGGGATTCCCTCCCCTTCCCCTAGCTTGTTTCCTTTCCTTGGTTTCTCTTGGGAGAAGGTTAATTTGCCACAGTCCATTTTCATCCCTTGCAGTAACATTAGTACCATACAATTACAGGAAGAAATGCATGAAGCAAGCAACTGCCTCTAACCAAGATCTGCAATCACCATGGTATCCAGTTGTCTTTATATATAGAAGCGTTCACCTCACGTTTGCTGTGATAAAATCATCATCTTTTTTCCACAGTCACCTCCACAAAACTGGTGCTCAACAGCAACAAGTGGGGCAAAGGACATCAGGCGTAGAGAAAGCAAGCCATGACAGCCTCCTCTGCACGGAACCAAGGTCAGCAAAGCGACACATGCTAACAGTATCACAGCTCAGTCAACCAAAAATAACTACACATGACAGAGATGGGCAAGCCAAAGTGTTCTTCAGCCTGCAGCATGCACAGAACCACCACTAACAGCCCCCTGGCTCACAGGTCGTTTATGTAGTCCGGAGCCCACAGAATAATGAAATGGGGGAGAAGCCAAAGAGGAATTGAACAAATTCAGCTGCGACAGCTTCAGGACAGATAATCAAATCTATTGTTCCAGGACAAGTTCAGCTGTTTCCAAAATTGAAGAGAAATTTCCCATGGCTGAAGAAACACTACAAACCACTCACATGCCACTACTGAATCACAGTGATGCAAGAAACTCTGATCACACACATTAGAGAAAGCTAGGCACATCTGGCTTCCCTAGCCTTGTCCCAAGTGGGACTAGGGGCCTTTTTGGTTTGAGTGGAGAGATTTATTTTGAAAAACATTAAATGAATCACTGGCCACTGTACTGCTAGGGACGCCTGGGGAAGTGACGTGAAAATTAACAGGCAACTAGAGTGTGCATGTCTTTGTTAGCTTTAATTCCAACTAAAAAGCACTGGGCAAGATGAAGTAGGAAGGGAGTCGAGTGGGGTGCGAAGTGGTTCAGTGTGAAATCAGGAGCCAGGACTCTCGGATTCTATTCCCAGCTCTGGGAGAGAATGTGGCCTAGTGGTTAGAGAAGAAGCCTCTGCGTTATTGCTGGCTCGTCAAGCATTCCTCCAGGTTACGGGCTTCACCTCGTAGAGCTTCAGCGTCTCCATTTGGAAAACGAGGCCGATAGCAGAGTCCTGCTGGCCGGGGAGCCCCCGGGGAGGGGCTCTCATAAAGGCCTGATTAGATGAAACACAGAGGCTAGGTTGGGGAGGGAGGTTTGCAGAAAGGCAAAGGGGG